TGCCTGTGATCCTGCTCATGAAGTCTGCATTCTGTCAAAAAGTTTCTGGTTTTCTTTTATCATTCCAAGCATTCATGCCATCTTTTCTCAATCCGTCCAATCCTTCTGAGGGTTATCTAACTCTTTGTGTCTGTGACTCGTCTCTTGCAGAATAAGATCCTAAACAGAACCGGCTGCTGTCCAGTTTGCACTGAAAGTGAGTAAGTCCTTCTCCGCCCCTATCCGTCTCCACATATTGAACTGTGGCACTGGTGTGTGTGGTCTTCCAATCTCTATATGATCTAAAAATAAAAGATTAAAAAAAGCCTTTAATTTGAGGCCTTAGAAATCCTAAAATATCTTAAATAATACATTTTGTGTTAATGCAACGGTGGAATCAGAGTTATTGATTGTATTGAAGGATATTTAGAATGAAGGTAATTACAAGCCAAAAACCTCCAGCATGAATCGACTTTCTTAAAAAGCAACGAAAACAAATCCCGGCCCAGCCTCCGTCGCTTCCACTGAGTATTCCCCAGGAACTTCAGTCCAGACTGTGGTTTGCCCTCGGGTCATTTTACTTTGGCTTCTAATTGCAGCAAAAATCCCCCAAAATGTGCTATTTCAGGACTACAAATACTCCATAAACCTCACTTGGATATAATATACAGTTTAGTTTTAGTTGGTGAGGCAGACGTTTCACCACACCACAGATTCTGGTTCCACTTCTGAGGGAGTCAGATTAGTACCACATATTTCAGCGTTTATCATAAATTAGCTTTTTGCTTCTGGCTGTCAGGTTTCAACATGTATTCTTTATGAAGTCTTGAGTTGTCAGACTCACTGCTGTTCCACTGCTGCCATTTTAGGTCATTTAAGTTAAAATGATTTTTCTGTGATATATTTCTGTTTGTTTTGGTCGATTGTCGCCCCGTATTTCAACATTTACTCTATCTTTTTCTGTCTAAATCCTTCTCCAGAGCCTGGTGTCTGCACGGTCTTTGGCGACCCTCACTACAACACCTTCGACGGCAGGACCTTTAACTTTCAGGGAACGTGTCAGTACGTTCTGACTCGTGATTGTGGCGGCGTCCCCTCTGGAGGGCCGGGGAACAACGTCAACGTCAACAGCCCAGACTCCAGCTTCACGGTAAGATGGGACTTTGAGATTTTGGGAAACCACATACTCTGATGAGGAAGATTGGCGGAACTGGTAGCCTCTGCTAAACGAGGGGAAAATATGTCTTCACATTTTTACACGTTGAAACTTGCCTCCAAAACAGTCGGCTGCCTTTTTCTTTTCTTTTTAGATCTAGCCAATGAGGGCAGGATTTCTCAGACCTAAACATAGCTTGCTTTATCCTTTCTGCGCCCAGCTGTTAGCTGTCAGTTAGATCCAATAGGTGAAATTTGTGCACAGTGATTTAAACAAACGTGTAAATAAATTAGCCATGGAGTTATTTGGAAGGCACCTTTAATCGAGCCAGACTAGCAGTTCTCCTCAAGTTGTAGACTTTGTGCTGATTAGAAGAGCATTAAGAAAGCAAACAAGGGTATTTTACTAAATGTTGTCATATGTTTTTACGGATCATGCATGCAGCAGCAGAGTCGCTCTATAGATGCTACTCTTTAGGTTTAAGATCATTCTTACCAGCTGTAATCTGACACTGCATGCAATTGTAAATATATTTTCATAATAAAATAAGCGTAGACAGTATCAGTACTCTAACCTCTAGCTCAAACTAAACCAATTTAATGCTTGATCAACTTCAAGTCTTCTGTTACCTTCATCCCAGGTGTTGGTGAAGAACGACGCTCGGCGGACTCGCTCCTTCTCCTGGACTCAGTCTGTTGAGGTGAGGTTGGGAGGTTTGATCCTCAGCCTGCACCAGCACCTGACGGTCCGGAGGAACGGTACCCGCATCGCCCTGCCCTTCCACGGCCCCGGCGTGCACATCGACCTGGACGGATACCTGCTCAAGCTCACCACCATCGCAGGTCAGCACACGTCGCTCTGGTGTCACTTTTTAGAAGTCCTGGCTCTGATTATAAAGCTGCAAACATACGCCTCCTTCTTTAGTCTTAGATTTGGAAACACTGTGTTTTGTTAGAACCTTCACACTTTACAGTTTTTTTCTTAAAAACAAAATAAAATAATTAATGGGTACCTGTTTACTGTAGCAGCAACACTTTTCACTAGTAATTCACAGCAAAGTACAGCTAAACAGTTTGTAATGTTTAACAACTTACAAATGCAAGCAATAAGCTGAGTCAATATGATGTAGTTTATCAGTGTGTTCATTCATTTATTTGAACTCTGAAAGGGGCTATAATTATTCCCGTCACACACTCTGTGACAAACCAGAGTTTGTGTTCAGTTTTCATGACACTGGAGCAAACTTTATTCACTAAAAGTTATAGAGAAAAGTAGTAAGTTGACATTATTTTGTCTTGACAGAGGTCAAGAAGGTTTAATGCTCAAATGCTTAAAACAGATTTTTTAAAGCACTCATCTCTGTTTAGTTTATTGGATAGAGAAGCATTGGCCAAAAAAAAAAAAAACTCCAGTCTATAAATTCTAACTAAGCTTTGCTCTCCACCTCCACAAGCAGGTCTGGAGATCACATGGGACGGTGACAGTTTTGTGGAGGTTGTAGCCGCCCCCCATCTTCGGGGACGGCTCTGCGGCCTCTGCGGCAACTACAACGGCCACAAGCGCGACGACACCATGGGAGGTGACGGCCAGTTCAAGTTTGACGTGGACGAGTTTGCCGAGTCGTGGCGAGTCGAAGGAAATGAGGTTTGCTCGCAGCAGCACCCGCCTCGCAGGCCGACATCCTTCCTGTGCCCCGGCAGCGTCAAAGTCAAGTTCCGGGCCCACCGGGAGTGTCAGAAGATAAAGTCGTGGGAGTTTCAAAAGTGTCACCGTGTGGTGGACTTCGGCCCTTTCTACAGGTGAGGACGAGGCCGAGTACGCTCGTATTCGTCTAATAACATAAGCTACTCCCTGCCCCAAAAGCTGAACCTAAACTAAGCCAAAACATTTTCTCTGCAGGTCGTGTGTGACGGACATGTGTGAGTGTCCGGTCCATAAAAACTGTTACTGTGAGTCCTTCATCGCCTACAGCCGAGCCTGCGAGAGGGAAGGAGTGCCTGTCCTTTGGAAGCCTGATACTGTTTGTATGGGTTAGTAAAGACTGATCATTGCTGCCGCTGGTAGTCTAGTTCACATTACCCCCTCTACAAACCAGAAACGCAAAACTATCCACTAAAATCAGCTTTTGAATAGATTTAAAGCAAGAAAGCTGATCTAGAATGATCACCTTTCCATTGTTCCCATCTCTAGTATCAGCAAGGGAACACATGAATACGACTGACTCTATAAGGCATTGGATTTCCCCTTACACTCCATATTTATTGAAATAAAATGTTTGTGATGTAATATTAATGAACTGAATGGCTTTTATAACAGCTTACAAATGTCAAATGTTCAGTACTAAGTGCACCAGGAACTGTTCATTACGAGAAAAGTTGCCTCATTGCTCATTAAGTCCCAATCTCATTTTTTTCCTCTTCCCCCCATCAGCCACCCAGTGCAAACACGACGCTGTATACGACACCTGCGGGCCGGGCTGCACCAAAACCTGCGACAACTGGAACGAGATCGGCCCGTGCCTCAAGCCCTGCGTGGCCGGCTGCCACTGCCCCGCCAACCTGGTGCTGTTCCAGGGACGCTGCATCAAACCCACGGCCTGCCCAGGACGGTGACCCTTGTGACCCGGGAGGGAGGGGGGGCCAGGTTCAGGAGGGCCGTCTGTAGTATTCAAAATTAAGGGGCCAAACTAACCATGAAGAGTTCGGGTGGACGCTAAAGGGCCTCGAGTCGACAGATCAGATGCAACAAGGTACTCAGGGTCCATAACTTCGCCAAGAAGCGCGTTGCAGTGATTTAGACGTCAAGAGATACAGACTACAGTGATGGACTGAAGGGAATCTTAGTGGATCTTAGTGAAACGCTCAGCTTCTGACTTCCTTGTGCCTCTCGCGATACCATGTAGTGTTACTACACCAGTCACCACCAACGGAGGTGCAAACTTTTCATCTTGGAGAGGAAAAACTCAGCTCCCAGGAGAAAACTCAAGGGGCCCGATTTGGAGGTCACCCATCCGAGGAACATTCGGGGAAACGATTTGGGCCGGAGGACTCCTATTAGAGCCAACCAGGCGCCTGAATTTCTCTTGCAAACACACTAAAATGGAAAACTGGGCATCTGCATTTGGAATAGGGAGATTCAAAGTGGAAAAAAAAAACTCTTAATGCATCATATCAAAGTGCCCTGGTGAACTCTCTTCCATCATTTCATACTGTAAGCTAGCCAGATTTATATGAAAGACAGACAGCTTTTATATTATTATTGTTCTAATTATTATTATTATTTGTTGTTGATGTTGTTAATTTATATATCGGTCAATTGACATGTCGTAGCAAGAGCCAGAATCATGAATATAATTGCGTTACAAATGATTTAAAGGGAAACAAAAGCTATTTATGTATTTGTTGTGTACTTCTTGTGTGACTGTTTGAAGAGAAAATGCCCAAATGTGACTCAGTTGTTGCACCATCGCAGGGAAAAAGTACTGTATTGTATTAATGCTCCGTGTACAGGTTGTTGTGGTTAGTATCAAATTGAAGGTGTTCATGTAAGCATATGGTTTCACTTGATGATAATTATTTAAGACCAGCAATATAATCTTTTCTCGAAGTTCACTTTCGCCGCCTTCTTTGCTCTTTGAAGTGTCTGAAATACCTGGAGACCTTTTTCCTTATTTTTTCCCGCAGCCAAAGTTGAAAATTAAAGTTTGATTCACACTTGACACCAGATGAAAATAATGCAGCAGGCAGTGTTTATAGTGGCTTAGTTAGATGTGTGCAGCTGAAGGCAGATCACCAGTCGTTGTTTAACTCCGTTTTTCTGCATCGAGACAAAGAAAAACAATTCTCACAATAAAAAGAGGTAAAACTACATTTGCACACCTTTAATACACTTCAAATTTGTACAAACATAGTTCACTGAAACATAGCCCTAAAATAAAAAAACTAAAGCACCAAATACAACAGAGATCATGAGACAACAAAACTACGTTTCAAGAGTTGTACAGCTTTCAAGGGAAAAACACCAGAGTGGAAAATTAGACCTTTGTGTCCACCTGCTTCGGTGGTTTGACTCATTCTACGGTTTTTATCGTCCGCTTTAACTTCCTGTACGGCTGCTGTTTAAAAGCAGGAGGACAACTGTAAGCTGGGGTGGGTTGAGAAACTGATCATCAGCACCAGAGGGATGCGTCGTTTCTAAATTCCCACACAAAAGAAGAAATACTTAAGTGGTAATCTGAGAAGCAGAACATCTGATGGGTTTTTTAGCACAGTGCATTATGTCAGTGAGTGTTAATGAAAACAGAAATCCATCAGAAGATCTTTTTAAGGAACACCAAAAACACCAGCTGGATGCTGTGTGATGGCAGATGATTGGACATGGATGCCCTGAATGTTAATTGAAGAGTTTCATTTCAAAATTGCGACACGTTCATCGCTGTAAAGTTGGTGCAAAATAGTTCAAAATACAGTTAATAGTATTTGGATCGCAGAAAACCAAGATAAAGCTTAGTAAATTCACTCATTTTAATTTGGTAGAAATGTTGCTGTTTTCCATTTGCAAGCCCCTAAACACACAAACACGTGTTTTGTTTTGTTTTTTTTTTTTAAATGTGGTTGATGATGGAACTCTGTCAGATTAAAGTTAGATGGAGCTACGCTGGGAATTACATGAGGTCACCCGTCTCAGGTAACGTTTGTCCTACCTTAAAGCATTGTTTGTCCTATTTGTTTAAGGTTCCCTCACATCCCAACAGCAATCAATAAATCAACTGCTCTGACAATTAAATAAACCAGTAATCTGAGGCAGTGACAGACCTAATAATAGGTAATCATTGCATCCATCCTGCAAGAAATGATCGGATGTTCAGCCTAACTTCATTCACTCTGCCCATGCAACCATTGTGCATCACCAGAGTCTACGAGGCTAGCTGGACCATGCTGCTGTGTTTCAGTTTTACACCTAAACCTGCAACATCTTCTCATCTTTCTATTTCCACACTGACAGCAGCTGCAGGAGTCCAAGGGCATGAAAAGTGACGTCAGCTGCTCTTCTGTTGGACAGGTAATCATCATTTGTCTTGTCTTGTGATCACGACTAAGTAGTTTCCAGTAGGAACCCACCGTACTCATGTGCTTTCCAAATCTTGCTTTCTCTTGGTGATTTCACGTACTCTAACTTTAAAAGGTGCAAAATGTGAGTGAGGCAGATGCCAAATGGAGTCGAAGTCTAACTAGGTGCAAAGTAAAAACACCTGTGGCTGTGCAAGAAATGTAACCAAGGCTGCATCTGAAATCATTGCCTGTTTACTGCCTGTAATACCTGCTTCAAGGATCTGGGATTTCAATTTACAGTCCACCGTAGAGTGTTACTTATATAGGGAGCAGCTGGTTTGATTGAAAACGCACTTGTTTCTCTTCTGTTATTGTCCCTCTGCAGACAAGCATCTCTAGCGGCATGTCTACAAGTGTCTCATAAAGAAAGCGGCACGTCAGAGCACCAGCAGCAGCCTCAGTCCATTACTACACAGCGGCTACAGGTCACCTGTGATTCAGCAGTACAGGGTTACTGTGGCTGCAAGGACTAAATAGCAGAAAATACTTAATCTAAAAAGATGCTTTGAGTTGTGGTCATACACGCTAAAAGTGTGCTGCTAAGTTAGTTGATATTCCCTAAACCGTGTGTGAAAAAGATGACTTAAGATGATTTAAAACTAATAATTTAAAGTAGTGTACGCTCTTCATGTTAGGAGTACAATCATGACTTTGTGTCTGTTCCGTGTCATGTATTCGGCACAAGGTTTGTGCAGCACGTGTTAAGGACGATGAAGTATTTCTTCTTTTATCTTATTTTGAAAGGCCAGTGAGTACGAGTTAGAGGGATCCTTTAGCAGACGCTGGATATAATATTCATAGTTATTTATTTATTAGCGTGCACCTGTACCTATGAATCGCTGTGGTTTCATTGGCTGAGAAGAAGCCACTCATGTGCACAGAGGGAGCAAGTAAAGGAGCCTCTCTGGCAGCCACCACAGGCCCTCCTACATGCTTCAAAATGGATGGATATTATTTGTTTCCAATCTGCGACCTCACTCCTGGATCCTACTAAACATACACACTTGTTCCTTAAACTAAAAAAAATCTTAGTTTACTAGAAAGCAGATTAGCCGTCTAATAAGAAGAGATCATCTGTCACAGTGAAGAACACAAATGAAAAACCAACATTTGAACGTCAGTGTGAAAGTTGATTCTGCTCATTTTGTAATGAAACTCTTCTGTCTTGTTTTTGACTTCAGGTTGTTGCACTGCTTTAATAATAGTAATAATAATAATATGCCATACAAGCAATACCAACTGATATTTCCTAGCACCAGTGTCTCTGGCAGATAAAGGGAAAAGTCACTCACAAAGCAGTCTGAGATGAAAGTAAAATGAATACAACAACACACTGATGTAACACCATGAACATTCCTGCACATCTTGCACGTGATGAGGGGCAGTTCAACTCTTTGGCATTTTAAGAAAACGACACATTCACCTAAATTTCCCAACTGAAATGCTGTAAGGCATGGGATGGTACTATGATATAGATAGTGTATGAAAAATCTGAACCGAAAATAAAATGTTCTCTGTTTAAAAAAATAGAAGATGTAGCTGATACAATAAATTTGAAACCAAAAATTGGCATTTCTGGAAAAAAAAAAGGAAACTAAATCCCTTTGGGAAACTTACTTCCCTTTGCAAACTAAACCCTGCATATTTTGGTTTTTTCACAACAGATAAGTGAATTTTTGTACTCGCAAACGCCGACGCCCCTTTTAAATCTCAACCCTTTAGATGAACTGCTCAGTTATTGTTTCACTAACTGACAGTGGAGGATTTAAAAAACATAATTCTTTTAAACATTGCTGTCACTGATTCTACTCTGTGTCAGCTTTTATCACCTGACCATCTCACTGAAAGTAACTGAGCTCAGAAAATACATTTGTCTTATCTGTGAGATGCAGGAAAATCAGCATACACTCAAACAGCTGCATCCGGTTTGGTAATACTGCCAACAACAGCCAATTTTACACTTTGACTGAACTTCTTGAGCTTTCTTAGCTCTTTATTTTTGATTCTCCAGCTTCAGAAATACTTTGTTTGAGCTTCTTAGGCTCTGATCTACATCCCTGTATGAAACTGTTGCTGCTGCATGAGGAAAATAACAGCTAAGAGAGAATAATGTCTACTGCTACATGACAGACAGTGGAAGTAAATGAGTAGCTGGTGAGGAAAAAGAAATATCTAGCAGCTGATAGATTTCTAGAGAATGAAACCAGAGCTAAAGTGGGAGTGAATACTACACTTACATTCAATTGCTTGCTAACATATTATCCATACCAGCATAGTCGATACAAGCCTGTTTCTGCGTTTGTTTATGAGTCTTCTCTGCCCCCTTGTGGTGAAAAAGAAATCACAAAACATCAGCAACATGTGTCACCTCTAGTTTCCTACAAGGTAAAACAAAAGAGGAGTCTTGAATCCTAATTGCCAGACCCTAAAAATCCTCAGAGCAGCAACTTGACACATAATTTATGTAAATTCTTCTGTGATTGATGCACGTTTTTAAAAGAAAACCTGGTGAAATTTAGTGTTTTTCTTGTTGTCAACAAATCTGAAAAACAAAGCTTAGCCTGCTCAGATCACCAAATTTGGACAAATCCTCAAAATAGATCCCAACAAATGCAGCATTTCCAGTTGTTTGAAGGCCTTACTGATCCTTTAAAACAAATCAAATGATATATTGGTGAAGCAGTTCTGACGTGTCGCTGAGAAGTATTGAGAGATCGTCTGACACTTTGTTGGTTTTGCTTTTTCATAGGATTTGTTGACTGCAAGGAAAATGTAGAATGACACCATCCGAATTCTTTAATGAAGGTCATCTAACATTAGCTCGACCTTTACTGAGACTACTTTCTAAAATGAACAGCAAACAGCCACCTAAAGTTGAGACTAGGAAGGCACAAAGTAAAGTTGATTCTTTGCGCTCAATACCCATCTCAGATAGCAAAGCGGCTTTTCTTTTTCTCTTTGATGTGTTGCTCATTTGCAGGATATTTGTGCAATTCTGCTTTTTTTTTTTTTTGTTGTATGCTTAGTAAACTGATAAAAACACGACGTTGCAGAGAAGACTCCCACAGCTCTCTCTGACAAATGTCAAGACAAGGGGAGGGAACACGGAGCGACATCTCGAGATCGGCATCTTGCTCGACTTACCATAAAACAAAAATCCAACAAAAACAGATGATACAAGTAGATAAAACTAGCTTCTCTAAGTACAGAAAATATGCATGTGCACTCTAATATATATTCTTCCAAACCTCTCAAGTAAAATTAGTTTTTTTTTTTCTGAAGTTTTGCTATACAAAACAAAATATACATCTAATAAAAAATACACTCTCAAAGTTCCAAGCAGGCCAGCTTTAAGGATATACTAAAATAAAATTTAAAAAAATACAGTCAAACCAAGATATACAGCTGGGATCAGCTATCACAGCAAAGGAACAAGTGAACCAGGCAGAAAGTAGGAGGAGTGTGAAGAGAGAGACTGACCAGGAGAGCTCAGTCATCGTCGCTGTCGCTGCCGGACTCACTGAGCTGAAGGTCATTTCCTGTGAAGACCAGAAGGGACAAAAAAACGGGGGTTAAAATGTCTTGTTTGTGTATATAGGCTTCACTTATCACCACATGTCTTAGCTTGTCGTAGCATATTGTTATATTGCAACAGATTTGGCCAAAACCATAAATGCACACACAGCAATCACCAGGATTCGTTTTAATATTGAACAAAATATATTAATGAGGCGAAATCTGAAATGAAGAGTGGCTTTTGCTTGCAGCAGGCATCAGCGATAACGCCATGACTGGAAACAAGTGTTCTAAGAGGGTGGGTATGATGACAATGCACTTTCATCTACAGGCAGTGGAAAGTCAGCACTGGCAGAAACCCCAGCTAACTGACATAGCAAACCCTGCATGTGATCGTGCAAACAAATAAGGGTGTAGTGGCCAGAAGGGGACTGAGCCAACAGCCCACCCAGAAGCACACTGTGGATTTAACAGTCAACTCCATCTGTTAACAGAAAAGTGCTGCGGTAGCTCAGTTGTGTTGGAAGTGAGGAAGCGGGATTAGCGACACAGAAAACGAACGTGTGCATGAGTCACGTCTCTCCATCTGAGTCAGAGCGCAACCTTTTGATACTCACGGAGTGTGTTCATGAGCTGGTTGTTGCCCTGCTGCCGGTCGGCTCCTCCGTTGGCCATGGGGTGGCGGCTGGGGGAGGTCTGGCTGAGTGGTCGGGGGGCGTCGTGCTCGCCGTCGCTGCTGCTGCTGTCGTCGCCGCTTCCCGAGGCGCTGGCTGAGTCAGAGGAGCTGCTGCTGCCGCTGCTGCTCATCTGCTCTATCACCTCCACCTCCGCTCGCAGCTCTGTCAACAGCAGCAGGGAGTCAGCGGAGTTTGTTTTACATTCATGTCATTGTGGGATACTGAGCGTGTTTGAACAGTGACTAAATGGTTTATAACACACTGTCATAGAGCTGGAAGCAGATGTGTTTAATATTATATTTCTTTAACAGCTGTAAGCCCTCCGGTGGGTAGCCATAAATGGAGGCTGGTATAAACGTGAATAATGAATATTAGTAATAATAATGCAATAAGTACATCTAATTGTTGACTAAATTTCTCACCAAAAAACACTTTAATTTCTTTCATTTCTGCATACAACTAAAATATAGTGTGATAAAAAAAAGAAGTTATGTTCATATAGTGCTTATGAATGATAAATAGAGCATGTTAAAGTAAGGTGTTACCAAAAATAATTTATTACAGTGACTATGTCAAAATGGCACTGGCTCATAAGTCTCTGATTTCACGGGCTGTCGCTGAACCCTCTCACCTCTCTTGATGTCATCAAGTTGCGGCTCTGGGGAGGGATTATCCTTAGATGGGGAGGGAGAGGTTTTGATCCCAGCCCCAGGCTTGGTCGGAGCCCGAAACTGAGAGCTGGGCTGACTGGACCGAACTGACTGCTGCTCAATCCGGGCCTGGATCTTACTGCTGCCCTCCGCCCTGCAAAACACCAACACACAGTCAGCCCATAGTAGTGCTTTCTGACCAGCTACCATCTTATTTCAAAACGCTCTGGAACTGTACAGACAACACAAGACAAGTCTTCAAGCTAAATGTGGTTTAACAGTAACTCAGATCAGCCTGCTACACTTGCACTCTCTCCAGACAGCACTCTGATGTCACAAGTCACAATCACATCTCTTAAAGTGTTTTTCATTGGTCTGAATTTCTCAGATATCTCACCTGGTTTTCTTGACCTGGATGCTGCTGCTCAGCTTCTCCAGTACGAACTCCCCGGTGTCATGGTTAATGATAAGCACACAGTCCTTCTGGTACGGCCGCTTGTTTCCTTTGAATACTGTCATTGGAGGCGTGGAGCCCTGAAAGAACATCAAGAATCTAAATGTGTATCATTTTAGTTTACTCTACAAGAGTAAAAATGTGTAATAATAATAATGATTTATATGCATGCCCATAATTATCAGGGTTGGTTGCAGACTTCCGCTAACCTGCAAGTAGCACACTTTTGCCTTTCATTGAGGAGCGCTGCCAAATGAGCTAAAATGAGGCAAAACAATAGATTTCCTACTTTTTTTGTTGTTGTTGTTACAAAAGGAGAAGAGCAACAGCCGGTCTTACTGGAATGTGAGGTAGCGTTATGGTGACTTCATCTCCTTTTCCAACTTGTAGTTCTCCTTCACAGCTCGTGTCGATAGATGCTGGTTTGAAGTCATCTGAAAAAGCAAGTTGGTTGGTCAGGTAACTCAATCAGACGTCTCTCCTGTTGTGTGTTGAAACTTTTGTCACAACTGTACATACCGACACCAATCTACCGGCTATAAGTCCATATCAGAACTACAGTGCAATGTGATTGTAACGCTGGTTTCCTGCACAATATACTATAATGAACTTGTAATGACATGACTTTATTACAACAATAATTTGTTTGCTAGAACGCACTCAGTATGTAAATAGACAAGTGAACTGTTCATGTGTGCTACTAAAGAATATGCAAATATGCTTGAGCTATTTGGAGTAAATCATTTCTTTTTGTGTATCTCTCAATAGAGAAAGCTCTGTACATCATCACAAGATTCTTGTTAAAATTCTGCAAATGGGATTTATACATATAAAGACAATAATTGCATTAACAAAAATTGTGTCCTTAACATGCAATGATGTCGGCAGTATATATAAATAGGAATAATAAAACAAATACTGTCAGGAGTGTACGAAGCAGCAACACGCCCACTTATGTATAACATGAGCGTTGTCTAAAAATAGCCTCAGTTATCTCACTGGTTGCTGTAACATTATACAAGCGGCTGTAATGATATGTTCTATGCAAACTACTTAACGTGCTTATCCAGATAATTGGCTATGTTGTGTAAGACACAGCCTCCTCGTCCATGTGAGCAAACTAATCCCACACAACAGTTAACTTAACACTGCGCTTCGTTTTGCTGGCAAAGTTTTTTTTTTGTTTTAAACACACACACACGGCGCGGTCTTTCACACTCACATCTGATAGTGTGAAAAGAAGATTTTGGCCTCTTCTCAAAGCTTTCTCCGAGCTTCAAAACATGCTCCTCTTTGTCCAGCAGCGGATTCGTGCTCCCGTTCATGGCTCCGTTCGTTTAAAATGGTCGAAACTCACATTTATGTGAAAGTACCGCGAAGAGCCGAGTCGGATCTCTCAACTCCCGGAGGGTCGGATTAAGAAGCCAACTACAAGACAAAGTTAGCTTGCTGTGGCTAACCTTTAGCAAAACATCACTTGCGTCACTCGGCCACGCCTCTTCCGGATTGTGGTCCGGCTGTCAAATATCACCGGAAGTAAACTATGTTAGCAGCAACTTTAGCTTTCATTAAAATATAATATACGTCAGTAAAAAAAACACACACACACACACACAGAATTATATGATTACTTATGATACTATATATCGGGTGTTATTTATTAAGTGACCAGCAATGACAACAATGGCGTCAAACGGATTTAAATTGTAAAGCTACACGGAAGAATTTATTTGACGGACAAGATGGACGCAAAATGTGTAGCCTGGCGTAAGTCTTTCTGAAACACAAGTAAGTTTAGAATCATTTATCGTCTAATTAAATTACATCCTAGTAAATCGCATCTAAATGGTTCCTAAATAAGAACAATAAACGGAGAGGAGAGAAAATGATGTGTTTTTTAATGTCACCATAGCACAAATGTAAACTAGTTATAATATTACACATCCTGAAGAAGTGGAGTTAAAATGTCTTCGTGTGACGGACAAACCAAAACGTCAGCTGCCAGAGTTTTGACCCAGGAGGAGCTGGACAGACTCGGCAGTGAGCGGACTCTGGTGTCCGACTTCAAGCAGATGAAGTTGGAGAAAGAAGCTCAGAAAAACTGGGACTTGTTTTACAAAAGGAACACGACGAACTTCTTCAAGGACAGACACTGGACCACCAGAGAATTTGAAGAGCTCAAAGCTTGTCGAGAGGTGAGCAAAGGAGCAGGAAGTTATTCCCAAAGTGTGCATGAAAAGGAAAGGACATTTTACATCAGAAGAGACGAGTTTTCACTGGGGTTTGTTCCATGAATCCTCACTTCTGTCGATTTTTCTTTTAGATCCCTGAGTTGGATCACTGTCATTAAAGTATTTGGGTGTAAAAGAGTCCCTAAAGTATTCTGGGTTTCATGTGTAAGGCTTCCTTCTGGCGTTATGAGACTTTACAGGACATAACTTGAGACATTTTTCAATCTGTTGTAGTCCTCAGACCATCGGCCAACTGTGTGTTGCCCTGTCTTTCAAACTTTTATTAGATTTTGTTTCGGAAGAAGCTGCAGAAATAAGTAGATAATCAGGCACAGAATATGCTTAACTTACTCCATCCAAAGCTCTGGTTGCAAAACAAATTTGCCATAAAGGATAGAGGTTCTTGTATATTTAGTTCTGTCTTTGTCTTGCCTGATTCGCAGTTTGAGTCCCAGAAGCTGGTGCTGCTCGAGGCTGGATGCGGTGTAGGAAACTGCATCTTCCCTCTGCTGGAGGACGACCTCAACATCTTCGTTTACGCGTGCGACTTCTCGCCGCGGGCTGTTGAATTTGTCAAAGTAAGACGTCTATCCATCAATGTACTTTTAGTGTAATTCACATGACAGACTTGTAGGTCAACGGAACTCCAGACTCTTTTCTAGTAACACATTGCTTTACAATCTCACAGAACCACACGTTTACATCTGACCAATACGAACTGAGTCTTCTCTTGCTGCCTGCTGAAGAACCCCAAGAATTTACAAGAGGGCTTCCCAGATTTACAAACAATTTGTTGCCCAGATGCCTATTTCACCATTAAGCCATCGCTAACATGTGTTGCCCTAAAAATGCAGTTGAGAATTTGTGACTTTTAAAATTTATGAAAGTCACCTGCTACAGTCTGGTTGCTCTTAACAGTAGAAGACTGCAGTTGTCCACCACATCTTCCTAGTAAATGAAAAAATATGAGGCACTTCAGGAAATCTTTTCTCTGGAATGAAAAAAAAGGCAAAAAGCACTTAATCATGTTAATAAAATGACTTTATACTCTTTTTAACTTTTCACAGCAAAACCCTCTATACTGCCCTGAGCGCTGTTGTGCCTTCCAGTGTGATTTAACTAAAGATGATCTGATGGAAAATGTGCCAGAGGGAAGCGTGGATGTTGTTACTCTCATCTTCGTCCTGTCAGCCGTCCATCCTGACAAGATGAAGCTGGTTTTGGAGAACATCAACAAGGTGAGAGCAGAGACAACCAGCCGGACAAATCAGTGTAGAGCTCCTGAACTCCCAGCAGATTGGAAAATATGTGTTTTTTTTTTTAAAGGTTTAAGACCAGATTGTCCCAATTCACTTACACGCATGTCATAGATCACACAACATATGTATAATCAGTGTGCATACAAACAAATGTTACAAAGATGAATTCAAAAAGGTTCCTTTATGTGGCCGCTTGAGTTCAAAACCGCAATGTACAAGCAGATATTTGATGGTATCTGACTATTGTGCGTTTGGTAGCCCTCATAAAAACTAAAAAAGTGTCCTGTGAATTGCATGTGGCTTCAAGGTGCTAAAGCCTGGAGGCATCGTCCTGTTCAGGGACTACGGCTTGCACGACCACGCCATGCTTCGATTTAAATCTGGAAACAAGTTGGGGGAGAACTTCTATGTCCGCCAAGATGGCACGAGGTCCTACTTCTTCTCTAAAGGTCAGTAAATCACTTTCTTGCCTTCTCATGTTTGTCACTTAGAAAAGTCCCAAGTACATACAGGTTGATACAATAAGCAGAAACACATGCTTTGTATGAGTAGATAGTATAGATGTATGCTGTAAATAGAATACACAACTGTTTTGCTGAGCAGTTATGTTAACGGATTTCTCAACAGCAGTAACAATTTTTGTTTTGTTATTTGTCGATCAGCTTCATATACAAAAGTGTGACACTTGCAGAAAGCAGTAAACAAGGTTTAAGAGCTAATAGAAGTTTTTATTGTTCTAAAACTTCTTTTCTCTGTATATTCTTGATTTTAGTAATTAAATAACCTATACAGCTGTTCAACCAAAAACTACAGCATAGCCAGGACACTGTAGTTCTATAACCAGAGTCAGTGGTCAGATCTTGTTTATGTGATGGATCTTTTCACATTTCTCAAACTTTCATGACGCTTTAGCAAACACCTTGAGCTTCATTCTGTGCTGTTCTCTCCCTCTAAAGTGTCCTCTGCTCTTTTTTTTACTGCTTTCAGAGTTCCTGGCCGAGTTGTTTGAGGAGACGGGCTTCCAGTCTGTCGCTAACGACTACGTTCTGAGAGAAACAGTCAACAAGAAGGAGGGTCTTTGTGTTCCCAGGGTTTTCCTGCAGAGCAAATTCACTAAGCCTGGCCAGTCACAGAGCTCTTGATGTCACTTTGTCGGTCATTTCACAAATCACTAAAGACATGGAAAAACACAAGACCGAAATGTCTGGTTGAAACAGGATAGCTGAAAAGTGATTCTATACTTTGGGGGAACTGCTATCCTAAACATTCCCAGGAGGGGACTTGTGGCTCATAGGCTCCTGGTTCTGAATCTTTCAGACCAGGAGGGAGCTACAGGTGGGTTAGTTAAGAATACCTCCTTCCACTGATTGACAAACGTGTTTTGCCTTGAGGTAAGGCTCAGAGACACTTATGGGCTGCTCCTCTGACAGAAATGAAAGCGACGTGCTTGTGCCTGGTATTTTACAGGTGGAAACTGGTGGAACTGGAAGAGTAGAAATCTCAAAAGGTGAAAGATTGTTCGGTAAATCCCTGAGCTACATATATATTGAGCAGTTCGAATTCACATTTCATAGCCTTGGTCAAAGTTAAATCAGCTGCTTGTATCATGCTGAGGAACTTTTTGCCTTCTCTCTGAGCCTTTGGCTTTTTTATTCTAACAGGTATTTTAATAATTATAGCATCAAGAGTTTCTTGATGTTAAGTGATCATTCAATTTTGTGTACATTCACTGTAATGTTTTTCGTCATGCTAATCTGTTTATATTGAGGACAAACACAAATACATTTTGTCATTTCACACTTTCGTCTGTGTCATTTCACACAATTGTTCAGATAATAATGCTCAGAGTGTCACATCCTGTTTATGGTTCAGTATTTCTGTTGTGCTGTAAGGCTGGTAATAATCAAGGTCAGTTTTATTTCTATGGCACATTTAAAAACAACCAGGGTTGACCAAAGTGCTTTACAGACTTATAGTCAACACAAAAAAGAACATATATGAACAGCCAATGAAAACCACACATATATATAAATGCATCCAGGATGTCAGCGCCTGATTGAGGTGAAAGCCATGACTTAAAAGATTCAGCAGTCTGAGCGGTCCAAAAGTCCAGGTGTAGGCTGTTCCATAGTTTGGGAGCTGCCACTGAAAAGGCTCTGTCACCTTCGGTTCGGAGTCTGGATCTAGGGACCTCCAGGACCACTCAACTGGACGACCTCAGTCCTTCGACAGGTTAGTGGACCTGAATAAGCTCTGATAAATAAAGTGGGGCCAACCCACGTAAAACTTTAAAAACAGGAAGTAAAACCTTTAAAGCAATCCTTAAATGGACAGGAAGCCAGTGGCAGTGTTAATCGATAAACATCCTGACTGTTGATTAAACCTATTGAACCTTTGGCTGGATTACAAGCGTCTGGAGTCAAACCAGTGACGTGGTTATATGATCTGAACAAGGAAGCACCCACGCTGTGCTGTTTCAAAATTCCAGACATTCATCATCCAAAACAATAATATGACAGTAATATAAAGCCATGTTTTGATTGGTGAGTGATTGAAAGACTGATGTATTCCGCATAGATGACAGTGAAACAATCTCTGAATAATTCTCTGACATTGCACAAGTCATCCAGATGAGTGTGCTGGTGTTTGAACGACAGTGTAGAGGAAAATGAAAAGTCAGTCTTGTAGTAATTCAGTGGTAGCTGTCACTGGTTTCAAGGTACATACAAGACAGTTCGTCTTAACACCCAAATATCCTGTCGTTATTCTGTCACTATTTGTGATTTATGATGGTTAATAAACTTCCTGCACAGTCCTTTGAAAAATTAAGAGGGTCACAGCAATAGCAGAGCCTTGGTAGAAAACAAATATTAAAAAATGGGTTGTCTTTGGGTTTTTGGAGGGCAGAACACAGTTTCTTCATCTTAATTTTTTGATTTAGTCATAATTTACCTTTAATATTAAACCAAGCTATTTCACCTCCTACCTACCTCACTGTGTGTTACACTTGCAGAACTTTCTTCTTTAAAAATGTAGTTAGTTTTTTTATGTTCCTCATCTCCATTGTGCTTTTCCACTAAAATTATCTACTTTATATGTAGGTGTGCAGCACTCATGGAACCAAATATTCCTTTTAATTTGTTGCGTTTCCTCCTCTTTATTCGAATAAGTATGAATTCAATGGATAAAATCAAAACTGAGTTTGAGAAAGCTTCAACAGGTGCTTTGAATGTTGAGCCTAATGTTTTGTTTTTTTCCACTGAGGTGTGTTTGATGTGCTGCATCAGTATCAGATGAACTGCGCAGCCCAGTGTATAATTCAGTGGCCAACACACATAGAGTACAGATGAATGCGACAACTGCGGTGAATCGGTATAGTTTAGCGTCAGGTATCTTGCAGCATGCTCCGAATGTGGCTTCCTGTTCAGCAACTGTTTCACCCTCTGATTTCCTCCTTCAGGGCACGAGTAAAGTTCACACTATTTGTTTTGTAGTAGAAGGACCACCTAAGTAAGTACTGCAATGGATGGATTTCTGAACCAAACTTCACAGCCATCAATTTAATAGTTGCTGTCGGGAAAAAGTCAGAAACTCTCCATAGTAAGCATGGTATAATATGTAAGGAGCATAAAGAAGCAAATATTGGTCTTAAGGTCATCCTACAGGAAAAAATCAGGGAATGGAATATCATATCGGTCCTCTGAAGACCATGAATATCAGTCTGTCCCATGGTTGTTGAGATATGTCAGTCTGCTCCTAAGTTCCAGAAGTCAACTGATTTTTCTAATCACTGTTTTCATGTTCTCCACTGACATCCTTTCTGAGAAGTTGCAAATTACCAAATAAAGTTTTGTCATTTTTCTGTGCATCTGTTGGAGAACCCCCAGCAATGACACAGAAACACATTAGCCCTGGTCTTCCCCTTTAATCCGACTGTGGCTGCTGCTTTAAACATGATTTCAGAACAAGACGCTGCGACATTGATGCAGTTTCCTGTTCTGTGGTTTGGCTTGTGCAGCCGTCCACTGGATGGAAAAACCAATTTGGTGAGAATGCTGAAGTGGAATCATGTCTGCACGTTTGTTCATTGTGGCTTTACTGTAATGGAAAACAGTGCATGTGTGCTGAATGAAAGCCAGTTTGACACAGCAGCTGTCCAATATATCTTTATTTGCACTGTGCATTGTGGAGATTATCAGCTTTGTTGAACATGATTTGAAAAATTCTGTGGCTTCATTTACTTTCACTGAGGTTTATTAGTGATGCTGTAACTTTAGCAGATGTGGCTTTGTGCTCACTGGTGGGAGTGAAAATGAGAATTGCCTGAGGGCAGAGTGCTCAGAGTGCTGCAAACACGTTACAATCTCAATACTAATTTTAGCTGCTGACGTTCGTGTGGTTTTTTACACCTTTACACATTCTGCGTATTTGATCAGTGCCAACGGAGGTGAACTTGCACATACTTAACGGTTTTGTTTGTTCTGCTGAATTCTTGTCGTGCAAGTTTTCTCCTCACTGACTGACACGAGTTTTTGTTGTTGTTCTGCTTTCTCTTTAGAAATGTGTACAGGTGTGCACTTGGTTTCCAAAATCAACCTTGGCAGTTCAGTGGCATGAAAATTGTATTTCTAAATTGAATGTTATTATTTTGACTCTACTTCCTGGCTTACATTTAGGTAGTATGGATTAAATCCTGTATGTATTATCTAAAAGTAAAAATAAAAAAATCTCAGAAAAATTTTAAATTAGCTACCGAGACATATAAATGTCTATTTTTTTGGCTAATCCAGCAAATTGTTTCTGATCAAGCAACATATTTCTTTACTTTCATCATGCAAAAAACCCACATGCAACTCAATAAATACCACTGATAAAAATGAAGCTAACAGCAGGGACAGTGTTATATTATTATTAATAAACCTTTAATCAGCTGTGCAACTAGTGCAGTTACACTAAATGATAAAACATGCCAATACAAATAGAACGTGATCTTTGTTTGATTAAAAAAAAATATATATAGTCAGGTGCACCCAACTTCTCTCCTCCTGTGTGAATAGAGTCAACTCAAATTGAAGGATCTACCTGCAAGAGAATATAGAAAACAACAGAGAAAAGGGCATTAGTGGGCATCTACTGTTAAAAACGGTCTCTTCAAATATATCTGCACCAATGAACCGAGGGCCATAGCCTACTTAAAGTTCAAAGAATACCAAAAAAAAAATCTACTCAGGTACAATCTAAAGCCTGTTTGATCACAACCATACCTCTTCTGACAGTGACCTGGACGAAATGTCCCTGTGCTGTCTCTCCGGTCTCACATTCAGCCTTGCACTGATACCGACCGTTGTCCTCTGGCGTCAGATTGAGAATCTCTGTGACGACCTGCCTGTGTCTTATGTTGCCTTCAGTGACTGTCTCGTTCACCGTGGTGAAATACTTCCTGGGGTCTGTCAGCTCAGTACTTTTTCCAGTTCCATTATGCCAGACAACATGCACCAGACCACACAGCTCGAAGTCGTAACGTGCCTTACAAGACAGTGTGACTGAAGAGCCTCGAGCAGCAGTGAAGGTCTTCTGGCCGTAAAGGACCTGTAAGATGTCGTCTAAGAAAACAGAGAAAATGATTGTTGTTAGTCGTCTCTTTGCTTTAAATAGCTTCAAGACATTTTGGGAAGTACACTTGTTCTTTCTGAGAGTTAGAAGCTCAGTACTGCTCTCGTATCCGCTGGTAAATGTACACCTCCAGCCAATGTTTGCAGTTTTTCTAGTCTGCTCTGTCCAAAGGTAACAAAATGTATCTGCTGCCAACACTAAATGTCGCCAACAACAACTTGCTAAAGCCCATCTGCTTAATATGCACAAAATCCAACGAGGATAAACTGCAAACTGAGGCTTTCCTGTGAAATTTATGACAGATTTTTTTTTCTGTTCCAGGGGCAAAAACATCTTTAAGTCTTGTTGTCAGTGTCAGGTTGCTGATTTTCCGCATCCCACACCGAGCGCTAAGCTTATACAATATATGCAGTTGAAACCAGAAGTCTACATCCGCTGTATAAAAAGACACACAACCTTTTTCTTTTCTCATTTTCTGACATTAAATTGGACTAAACTTTTGCTGTTTTAGTTCAGCTAGGATTCACGAAATTATTTCTATTTACAAGAATAATGAGAGAGAGAATTTTAGTATGTTTAGTCTGATTTAATGTCAGACAGTAAGAAAAAAAAAAGGTTATACGTCTTTTTATAGTGTTTGTGAACTTCTGGTTTCAATTGTAGATATCGAGCATTGAAATTAAAGCAAAAGCAAAATCTGTCATTATCATGCAATCTGTAATAACTCTTCCTTTGTTTTGTTCCATCAGCTAAAATTCTAAATATTCTAAATATACACAGAATAGCTGCAAAATGAAAACAGTGAAAAAATGTTCAAGATGCGTAGAAATTAATGGAACTATGTTTCTGCTGCACTCCACTGGAGAGTCTTATTTGTCAATTGAAAACTGATATGCATCGTGTTTTCCGAAAGTAATCTGTTTTCAATTAAGAAACTGTGACGTGCTATTTGTCTGAATCTACCGAAGAATCCAGCGACTATTTTTCATGGACGCAGTTACTGCATGGGCTGTATCAAAAGCTGCTGGGATGAAAAGGATCATGACAGAACAGCCGCCCTTAATGCAAACAGATCTTTACATCGAGGCCTGTTCTGGTGAAATGCACCATGTTTGCTGATTTTGTAGAAGCGCTGAAGAAAGCACGTCTTGAAGTGGTGATCCAGCTGATCACTGCTGTGCCAAACGTAGAGACTTGATTTTTTAACTGGAAGAAAAATGAAAACCCTCAAGCCTTGTCTGGTGTGTTGGGTTTCCTACTGCGAGCTCTACCTCCAGCCTCACTGAGAATCCACCCCAGCATTTGAGAAGCTGGTTGAACCCCTTGAAAAATCTGCAGGAGAAATTTTGTTCAGTTCATGACGAGGAGATGAAGGTTTTCTGTCGCAGTGATCAGCAGACCATCTGCCTTTTGTGCTCCGTGGATGAACACAAAGACCACGACTTAGTCTCGGCTTCGGCAGAAAGGAGCAAGAAGCAGATGGAGCTCGGGGTGAGATGGGAAAAAAAATCCAGCTGAGAGAGAGAAAGATTTGACGGTGCTTCGGGAGGATGTGGGAATAGAGTGGATTTGGAAACAACGACCAGTCTTGGGCTTTGGGATTGTAACAGCCATTTATTTATGTGGGGTTAGGGTTAGTTTGTTTGTTCATTTCTTTTCGTTGTGATGCATGTTTGTACTGCCGGTAGACGTGTATTTTACTGCCAGGTTGCTCAGGCCAGGTGGGCGCGATTGAGGCAAATAAAATAAATTTGACCGCAATGTAGACGCAAAGTAGAGGCGCCATGCAGATGCGATGACTGCAAATGGGAGCAGTAGGTATTAACAGAGTACCTAATTGTCATATCTTCCTTAATTTGTGGAAACAATGAAGAATCAAACCAGCTGGAAATATCTGGACATCGTTTTGTGTGAGACAAAAATTGCAACATCATGTACCTATAGTAAGCGACAGAGTACAGCCGTTTACAGGACGTTTTGACGTTTACAGCTGTTATCTCAGACGTAATAATATGAGAACGGTACCTTCAGGCCCTCAGTTCTCCAAACTAGGAGTGTTCCTGCATCACAAGGCAGGAGCTCTGTCTTTCTACAGTATGTCTGACACCATGACTAGTCCACACCACTTTGACTCAGCTGCTGTACGCTACATTCTTGATTCTTGTAACACTGCTGAGTTATGTGACCTCAAGTAGGCAACATCTGATAAAAACTGGGTCAGATTCTGATTTTGCACTGCATCCTTTACAATGACCTTTAGAGTCACCTGTCAGCCGAACAAGAAGGGCTGGACGTCCTCTTCCTTTAAGATTTTCGATGCAGGTTAAGTTGTGGCAAGTTTGTTTTCTTTCTTTCTTTTTTTTCTTTCTGTAGAAGCATGACACCTCTGCCACCGTTTGCGGTTTAAACGATTTTCCCCAGAAAACAGCAACTTCTGATCGTTGCCTTTTTACCATTTTGTTCTGTTTCTCCGCGTTTGTTTCCTGTTACTACTTAAATCCATTAAAAATCTAACAGGTAACTGTGTGAATGCCAACATTTTGATGGAAATAGTAAAAGTATGCGCTGAGGCTTTTGTCAGAAAATGTTCAATGGAGTTTGTGAAAATGTGCTGAACTCAAAAGACTGCCTTCATTTTATGTTATTTGGTAGAAACTGTGCCTTACAGAAATATAACAGAGTAAATGAGTTACTGGTGTCATCACTTCAAGTCTAAACATGTCTCTGATTTGAGTTTTTCTTCAGAAACAATATCATATATTTAGGTCTACTATGTAACTATGACCGAGGTGTCATTTATATTTTCGAATAGACCTTTTTTTTCCCTGTAAAATAACATTATCTTGTGTTAAGAAAATAAAGTCCCAAATTGTTTCCTCACCTTTGTCCTCAGCAGACAACAGAGACAAAGTCATCAGGAGCAGCACCGTAGATCCAGTCAGACGAGGCATTCTGCAGCACTGGGAGGACACGCTTCAGATGAACACGAGGACCACCGCACCAGTGAAGAAACGGAGGACTCAGCTACAGATTTCAGGTTTACTCAGATGTCTACATTGTGTGTCTGCTGAATGTGTGGGCGGAGCATCTGCATCTCTGCTTAGTTACACAGCCGTGTCCCTCTGGCCACCACACACTTTGTTCTGATCTTAACTGTTTCCATTGTGAGTGTTGTGTTGCAGCACCAGGTATCGCAGATGCACAACGTAAAAACACCTTTATGTTGCCTTGAGTGAAGTTTATGTTTCAATCGTCTTAGTGAGTCAAGCTGTACTTTTTACTGCATTTACTGTATGTCCGTAGTTGGTATTTAGATTTTAAAAATGAAGAAATGACAATACTTTATAGCTTGTTTATCTCCTCCCTGCTTCAAGATCACTGTGTTTTATACAGAGTTAAATTGCCAAGCTCAAAATGTCGCTTCTTTTATTTATAGTACCGACACCGCAGCCTCACTCACTGCTTCCTTTCTCTATAAAAAAAGGTCAGTTTCAGAAGACAGAGTTGTGACTACGATGATATCACACTTAAGACAAGTTAAAAGATTAAAGCATGCAGGCCATGTCAGGAAGAGAGGGCCTTCAGTGAAATCATTATTCCCTTTGATAAACAACA